TACTCGAGTTTCATTAATCTTCCGCTTGTTTGTGGCATCGAAGCGCAAATCAAATGCCAAAATGCCACACAGCGCACACCCGTTTTAATTTTGGAATTTTCTGCACATTGACCAAATAGGAAATTGTGTTCCCCTAAAGAGTACTGCCAACTTCGACTTTGTTTCACTTTCGTTTCACTTTTACTTTGTTTGTTTCAGCAAATTATGTTCCAGCGCCCAAGAGCTAAAGGGAGTTGAAGCAGCAGGCGTGGGTCTCCAGTTTACATATTGGTATTTGCTTTGATTTATTTTTGTTTATTTAACTATGCCATTAACAAACGTTCTGCTGCTCAAACAGCTGGAACAAGTTATTGTAGCCGCCATGAAAAGTAAAAATAAATACACGAAAGAGTAATCAAATCACTTTTATTTTCAAACAGAGACTTGAGGAATTCATTTAAAACAGAAACCAAGAGTTCTGTGGACACGGCAGCAGCCTTTCGGTTTCTATCGCTGGGTACTAAAGATACTCCGTGAACCATAAAGATTGATATCATTGCCCCGATGCTGGATCCGCGAGTTAGTTATTTGACGTAAGCGCGGAGACAGACAGAAGAGAAAACAGGTTACAATAGAATATTTGGCTGCCATAAAACACGAGCTGATTGTCGCTGTTGTACGATCGTTTTGTGTGTCTGTCTGCCCCTCTGGATGATGGTTATATTCAAGGACAGCCTGTTTGGTGGCCCACAGCATTTGCATACTCATATGGCGACTTACACACAGTCGTTGGTTTGGTTTTTCGATCAGATTTAGCTGGCAGTATGCAGATTGGGCTTAGAACAAGCTTATGAGTGAGAGCATTTCGCTTGCTCCATAAATCATCTGTCTATAAATAAGTCAAACTTAATGCAAGTGCCAGCCCAAAGTCGCGATAACGCGGCCACAATCACTCACCCATTTATTTATAGAGCTGCAAGTGTCCCACCATAGAGTCCTCGAACGCCCTAACGCCGCTGATCCTGGGGGACCACTGTTGACGCTCATATTTATCGCCTGCTACTTGTAATTGCCACAAATTGTATGACATTTTTATGCCCTGCTCGGCTGCTGCTGCTGCTGCTGCTGCATGAATAATTGATTTACATATGCGTTTGTGTATTTGCCCTGCCATGTAATAAATTTATATTGCATACAAGCAGCAGTGGCAATCCTTATCGTTTTCGCTTTCTGGCCCCCAAGTGGGCACATTAATCAGAAGCTCCAAGGCGCCCACGCCACTCCATGGACCCAGGGGGATGCACTCTAATGACTTGCAGCAGCCCAGTCTCTGTGTGGCAGTGGCATCGCATTTATAAATCATGCAAAGTCGATGTGGCACCCTCCCGCGCCTCGTGCCATATCGATGGCAATCGCAAGACGCGTTGAAGCTGCAATTAGCGCAATCTCTCGCCTTAATCTTAGCACATTAATTAGTTTATTTAAAGTGACTTGCAGTCGAGCTGACTTCCATCAAGTCCATCAAGTCTATTGGCTGGCAGACGACAGCTTAAGTGCGGTAATTATGCATTAGCCCGCATTGGAATGATGTTTGATGTCACACTGTTCCTTGGTTCCAGTTTAAGTTCTAGTTGGGTTAGGATCTAGTTAAGGCATTTGTAGCTGCTAGCTGCAGCTCCTATAAGCGTGTTTTGTGCAATTAAATCCAACTCTGCATTTGCTTTAATTGCATATTTAAAGCTGACAATTAAACTTACAGCACCCGCCTGCTCCCACTCTGAGTGGATGGATGAACACTTATTCTGAATGTTTTTCTGCTTTCGGTTTCAGTTGCCACCGCACTTAACGTATTGCTTTGGCCTGTGCTAATTTCGAGGCAGCAACTGTGATTAATAAGCTGCCATAACGTGCTATCAGAGAACAGCAGCAGCAACGCAGCGCGGGGCCATTCATCTTCTAGACAAAGAGCAGCGCCAAAGTCCGGCCCAGACGAGTCAGCCTGGCAGATAGACTCCTCTTCCTTCGGTGCTTCGTTGCCGAGGTGCTGAAGCTACAGCATGGCCTTGAGCCAAGAATTATGTCTGCAATTACTCTTCGGGTTGTCATGCGCCAAGCTCTGGGGAACTGTGCCCGTGTCCGGGTGCTCCTCCTCTGCTTCTGGTTCTATTTCTAATGCAAGTAAAAGTGCAAGTTGCCAGCTGCCAGTTACGATTATGGAACTGTGCCACTTGCCGCATGTTCTGTCTTCTTTCTAATGGGGCACTGGCACTTAATTACAGCTTGTTTGGTCATGTTGCAAGTCAGCGTGTTGCCGATGCCGATGATGATACCGATACCGATACTGAAGCTGAAGCTCAAGCTGAAGCTGAAGATGCTCCTGCCTGCACCTTGGCACGTTGCAGCGTGTGAAATGAATGTTTGTTGTCAGAGCGTGGCGCATGTTGTTGATATCATCGAACATACCCCCCACTTATCTTGGGAAACCATCGGATTTCAGCATTTTGTACGTTGACATGTGGAAAAACTCTTCAGTTCAGCGCGCTCTGAGTCACCAGCACTAAGCTCCTGCGTTGGGGCCACAAGGCCAGGCCTGAACTAATTAATACCAATTACCTCATGGAATGAATGGTCAGTGCGAGTGCCAACGCCTCGAGCTAATTGAGTATCAAATAATGGCCAAAAGTGCCTTACATCGAGTGCCCAAACTGATGCCAGCTCGACAGTTTCCCAGGCCCCAAGGCCGCAGCGACACGCGGAAATCGCCGTCAGTTCAATTAGCACTACCCAAAGGTTTCAACCTCTTTCCCACCAATCGCCAAAACACACAAAACACTCTGTGAGTGACAGCACAGACACCACCCGAGCTACCGTTTCGATTTTCAATTCTTGTTTCGGGTATTTTTTGTCGTATTTCTGCTTGGGCGTTACAAATAAAAAGCTCCTAAATTGCATTGCGTCCCGTGCATGCCAAAAAGTCAAACCTGTAGCTGAAATCGAGCAACGCTTTGTGAAATTACAATCTGAAGGTTGACCGCAGTAGCGGCAGCAACGGCAGCTGCTCTGACCTTTACTTTTGGTGTCTTTTTGAGGCGGTGTCGTTGACATTTCTGCTGCTCACTTTTCGTATCAGCTACTTGATGATTTAGTTTTAATTCGGTTTTGCGTCACAGCTGAATCATAGCTATGAAGGACTTGTCTGTGGGCAGAGTGTAAGAATAAGGGCGTTCATCATGACGTATGCTCAATGTGTGGCAAGTTTTTGCTTATCAATCATACGGCCCACATACGGCCCCATACGCAGAGTACTCTTGCGAGTACTTGCCTCTCCTTCTGCTGCTTTTTAATGTACTCTGTTTGTGTGTGTGTGTGTTTCAGCACGATTTAAATCGTAAAACAACACGATCGATCAGGCAGAGAGTTTTGGCTGTGGCTGCGACGGCGACGGCGACGGCGACTGTCGCTGTGCCATGCGGAAATTGTTTGTACAACATGGGCTAAAACAAAGGCGCCACCGAACATCATGCAAAACAATTCATTATTAATAATTCTGTTATTGTTAAATTAATTCTTTGCTGCTGGCCAAGCTTAAACAAACAGCCAGAACCAGCTGCCGCTGCTGTTGCTGTTGCTAATTTCTCAAGTTTTGAAACCAAACCAAAGTACAAATGTTGGCTAAAAATTTGCCTAGCCCGTTTTCTCCCACTTGTGGCTCAAACGGTTTTCGTTGTTTTTGTGTGCTTATTTTTGTGTGTATTTTTAATGTAGCAAGGTCGTTCGTTGGCCGTTCGTTCGGTTGCCGCCAAAAGCAATTTGTAATGATTATTAAAACAACGAGCTGCTGCTTGGTATGCTCTTGCACCGGCTGCAAGCAACCAACCTGCCACCCGAACATTCCCATTCACCCCAGGCCGGGCTCACTGCTGCCATTGTCTCTACCACTGGTAGAGCCATAGCTGTTGCCATTTGCTGTTTGCTGTTTGCTGTTTTGGTTTTAATTGAAATAACAAAAAACAGTAACAAGGCAGTGGCTGCTGAAAAATGATTATACGGGGGATTACAACATGGCAAGGCAGGCATTCTTGGGCAATTATTGCCACACATCGCAGCCTTTCGTTACGTTTCATTTTGCCCAAGATCTAATGTGATTGAATACCCCACAGCCATGAGCCGGACACTTGAGGAGTTCTATTTAAAGCCCCGCCAAACTATCAACATTCTTTCGCTGTTAGCTCAGCGACGGCGTCTGCGAGTGTTGGCCAAGAAAAACAATCAATTTGGCAGCATGATAATTGAGTTGTTGTGAAAGGGAAATCCATGCACACTCTGTCGGATGGGTACATTTGGGGGGGGTGCGCCACACCCCCCACGCTATTTCAATTTTAGATTTTTAGCAAATTGCATTCGAGCCATATAAGAGCCAAGTGCCATAAACGGATAAAAGTCTGAAGCTCGAGCGCCTGAATTATGTCGCTCGTTGAGTAAATCAACGCAGAAATCCCAAGCCAAATAAAGTAGCTTGTCGCATGGGAGGGGGAAATACCCAGCGATACATCCGCCACGGGAGCGGCAAGGAAATCAATTCAAATCAAATCAGAACTAATTCACACGCTCAAAATGGACAAAGCAACCGAAAAGCCAAGACAGGCTGGCGGTTTTGTGGGGTGTGTATAGAACCTGTACGTACCCTGGAAGCTCAATTTAAACCCTGAACCTACTGAAAAGTCCACTTGCTGGCATTATCTTTAGCAGCAAGTCAGAGCTTTCGGTGAGGGAGCGGAGGGTGCGTGCGTCATGCCGCTGTCCAGACAGTGAAGAGTGAACGTGGCTGCTCGGCCGTCGACAGGCATCTGACGGAGCAGTAGCCAAGACACCGCGAGTGATCACTCGGCCCCGGCCCCGGCTTCGGCTTCGTCTTGGACTGCAGCTTCGTGCGCCGCCTCGTTGGCTCTTCGGCTGTGGCCGTGGTGTGCGTGCTTTTTGGCGCTTTTGCGGGGCTGTCTTGTGGCCGGGCACACCGTTAGTTCGCCAGTTGAAATACACAGCTTGCGGCGAGCGGTTCTTGCGCGCGCTTCTACCACGCCTAACTCCACAGCGAGCGACTTACTAACCAACCAACAGCAGAGCCTCAGCAGCCAGCAGCAGCAGCAGCAGACGAACGTCGCGTCTGAGTCGCGTTAGCAGAGTTCTGAGAGTGCAAAAACCAAAAACAAGAATAGAAACAAATTTAACAAAAGACAAACCCCACGTATTACTTAACGAATTTAACGCAACACAACACACACACACAAAATATAAAAGTTAAGCGTGTAATTGTGTGGAGAAACTTGGTCCAGTGATTGATTGGTGTCTCCGATTGGTGGGCGTTGCGAGCCGAGTGCTGAATCAGACTCAAGAATCAAACCCCCAACCCAAAGAACAAACAGTGAATTATTTGGATACAAAGTGACAACGAACGGACACTGCGCATTGCACATTGCAAGCAGGGTGAGTACGCTCTCAGTCGCAGTCTCTTTCTCTCTTTGTGTCTCCCTCTCTCTCTCTCTCTCTCGCTCTGTGTCGACCTTGGCATTTGGCTAAATTGATTTTGTCGCTAATTGAAACGAATGCAGCATGAGGATTTCATTTGATTTGATGTGATTGGCAAGCATTTCTGGAGATTGTCCAAGACGAGAGATGCGAGCTGTGTTCAGGCATTTGTAATTAGCATTTGGCTCTGTGTCTTATAAATAAACATCGTTTTTATCGTCGTCTGTCTGTGTGTGTGTGTGTGTGTGCTAAACGCCAAAGGCCACAGCCAGCTGTCCATGAGTGTTAAATAAAAGCTAAAAAGAATATATGTATATAAAAGCTGAGCATATCTTGCATGTAAATTACAAAATCAAGTTCGTTGCCTGCGTCTTTTGTTTGGCCTGCACAAAAGGTTCTTTGAACATGAAGTAGAAATAGAAACTAAGCCACTGGCTGCATGTGGCTTACACTAGTTGTTCATGTATTTGTGGACTGTGGAAAACGGCAACCTTCAACGCGGCCCAGTCCCCACTCTGGGGGCAGTGGGAAAACCTGTTGTTGTCCGCAATGCGTGTGCTTAATTTACACGCAGATTAGCGTAATATAATTTCATATCTTTATTAACCGAAAAATGTCAGCTTCAGTCTCAGCTTTAGCCACAGCCACAGCCACAGCCACAGCCTCAGAGATCTGCTTTGCCTTGGACAGAATTTATGAGCGATTTAATCTCGGTTTCGCCCGAAACACTTGATGCATACAAAGTTCCCCAAAACCCACAAAAAGATACACAAAGATTGGCAATAAAATTGTGCCGTCGGATCGCGCTTCACGTCATGTGATTTGTCTGTTGACTGTTCTACCCTTTGGGCCAACTATCAAGTCTTCCATCTTCCCGGGGGTCTTTGGCCTATGCGCCGTTTTTTTCCAGCTTTTGTTGTTGAATCATAGTACATGCCTCCCATAAACATATGCCAGAACTTCTGCATGGATATCTAGAATGGGGAAAGACTTATTTGCATGCCAAATGGAAGCTTAATTAGGCCACCAAAAGCCACAACACATTTGTTTAGCTCCAGCTCTGATGGCCTACATTTGACGGCTGTCTCGGGGTTCGGCTGCCGGACCAATCTCTTGTCATTTGTTAAGTCTTTCGCCCCTGAATTATGTCCACGCAGATATCGGTGCTAGAATTTTACACCCAATTATTCACGCAATTGTTAATTATGCGTTTGATTGTGCCAGCAACGGCTCCAATTTCAATTTGAAACCGACTTTAATGAAGTCTAATTAACAGCGAAATACTCGTACATGCGGAGCTGAGCGGGCGGCCTTTGTTGAAGTAGCTATGGGTCTTTTTCCTGCTCTTTAATTATATTTATATACAATATACAATATATGTTGAACAGCGAATACCGAACGAATGCATTGTGTCTGTCTGTCTGCCACATTGATTGGCAGAAATCAGCTTGAAGAGTTTTCATTTCTATGATGTAATTCGGGGCTGTAGCGATTGTTGAATGTTGAGTGAATCACAAACTGTCAATTATCGACTGCAGTCGATGCCAAAGAATTAGCATAACCAAATTGCGTTCGATGACTAATTGAAACAGGGCAACATTAGCGGGGATCCATAACGAGAGGAGGCACTTTTAATTAACCAAATCCATTCGGCATGGCAGCCAAGTCTTGGCACATCTCTGCTTCTACCATAATTCCCTTATTCTAATATTATTTTAGGCATTTTATGCGTTGTTCAAGAACATTGTGGCACGGCACTTGTTCGGGCCTAAGAATAGATCGAGCCACGAAACGTGCCTGGCCGCCACATACAAAGAGATTTTTGCAAGTAATTTCGAACACTAAAAACAATGTCGGGGCTGTATAATAATAATCACTCAATAGCAAAAGCAATAGCAAAACCAAATGGCAAATAACAACAGCAAAAGCGGAAGTCCAAGGCAATGTTGAAGCCACACGAAAGTGCTGTGCAACAACTCTTTTTCTCTCCCCCTCTCCCCCTCGCTCTTTCTGTCTCTATATTTTTTTTTTTTGGTTTTTGTTTGTTTTGTTTTTTTGTGATTTATTTTTTTGTGTCTTTTTCTTGCGCTTTTTTGACGCCTTCCTGGCACGAAATACTTTGGTGAGAATTGCAAATTCTCAGCCAGCAATGGCAGAGTGAAATAAGTGAAAATATTATGAAAGCCCCAGCCATGGCGGCAAGTGAAAATCGGAATTTATAATTTTCGTGTGCCGATTTTTTTCAACCGCAAGAAAAGGTGCCCCCAGGCAGCTGCCACTGCCACTGCTGTTTACTCAGTCAGTCTTTGCTGCAGCTGATGATGTTGATGTTGATGATGGTGATGGTGATGCAATCCGCTCGACATGCACATCAAGTGACAGAGCAGACATTGCGCATACGCCGCATTGTGCAGGCTGCTCAAAAAACAACTACCGCCCCACAGAGATGAAAGCCGAGTCGAGCCGAAAGCAGCAGTGGAGTGGCAGCAGCTGCCAAAACAAGAAGCCAAAAGTTATTATGACAAATGCAAACCCTAGCTTAGGGAACACTCGGAAGCTTGTTAAAAGAAAGCAAAGAGAACCAAGAACAAGCTGCAAGCAAAACCTGAGAATGTATACCAACAGAAGTCATATAAATAAACAGACTCCCCCCCGATGTGTGTGGCCACACACACACTTGTCGCTCTGGGTACGAGTTTGTGTGTGTCTATTTCCCACCTGAATTTCCATGAAGTTGCGTGCCCTGCTCATCATCGTCTTCTCATCATGATGTATGAACATCATGTGGTGCAGCAACAATATGTAATTTTAATTTTCTTGCTTTTCGCTTTTCGCTTTTTGTCGCCATGCCCTGCCCTGCCCTGCCCTGCCCTGCCATGCCATGCCATGCAGACCGCGGCGGAGGGGGAGCCAAAGTGCCAACTCATAAATATGTAAGCCACTGTTTTTGTTGTTAATGTTGTTATTGTTACTGTTATTGTTGTGTTGTGTTTGCAACAATTGAACAAACACCCGCGCGACATTGTGCAAACAATTCAGAGTCAAACAGATTTCTGGTTGTACGCGTTGGAGCGACTTTTGTTTTTATTTCACATTTAAATCATTGTGTGTGGCCATTAAAAGGCATCCCTGGCAACTGAAAAGAAATTTTCAATTTAAATTTGTAATATTTTTTGTTTGAATTTGAATGCAAAACAAGAGAGTAATCTCGTGCCTGGCCCCATCATAATTGTGTGGCATTTAAAATGCACCAGAAACTGGCTTTGCGAGCCACACATTTTATTGCCATCCAAAAGTAAGAGCAAAATATTGCTCCCGAGCGATGATAAATGCCCCGAAATAATATGTAAACCCGTTCCAGCCGGACATGTAAAGAACGGCTGGGCAGGGCCCACAAAATATTCAGAGACCCGTTCAACTTCGCTTCGGTTCGGTTCAGCACTTTCAAGGTTGTGGCGTCAAGAACAGTGCAGAAAACAGTGCCACAAAAAAACTGAAACAGAAAGGCAAACAAAAACTCGAGCAGCTTGCAATTGGGTGCGGGTCTCTGGTTGACAAGTCTATGCCTTCAGCTCGGACACAGACACGCGCTAAGCTTTGAAAGGCCTCCCAAAATGCAGCAGTTGCATGTACTCGTGGCATTATGTGTGGCGTGGCGTGGCACATGCCAGACCCATAACCAGAGCCCCAGTTGCGCAATTGCAGCCATGAATCATAGGGCCCCCTCTCCGCGTTCCGCTCCATCCAATTAGTCGCACAGCAAGTAAGCCGCTTAGCGAGCACAGACAAAGGAGCTGCTGCTGGCAAAAGACTTCCTTCTGCGCCATGGCCTTGGGTACGCCGCTACGTTCTACGATACGCACGCACAGAACCGTTTTTAGCGCTGCTGCTGCTAAAAATAACCCACAAACGACCTTGGGGCGGAGCAGAGCGCTTACATAATTAATTGCAATCGGGTTTTGGTGTCCCAGCAGAGCAGGGAGCATGCGGAAAAGCTACGCTTGGCTGGCTGCAAGGAAGTTGGGGCTAGTCACGAAACTGACAGGCGGGGATCATCGCATCGATTAGCACTTGACTCGATGCACTCGAAGGGGGAACCAAGAGTTGGGGCGAGAGTGAGAGATGATCCCTTTCAAGTGTGCGCTGGATACCGCAACCACAATAAAGCAACACAACGGAGTAATGGATTCATGAGTAAGACAGTAGAAGCTATAAACTAAGCAGCGAACCAAGAATTAATCACTTTTCGTCCATGCAAGCAGAAGTTTTAATTGTCAAATGCAGTTTAACCAAAAGGCCAGCCAGATAATTAAATTTGCTGCCCCCATCTCTCTCTCTCTCTCTCTCTGCGTCTCTTCCGCTCCCTCTGCACTGGCTGAATGCGATCATCGCCAAAAAATTAACATCACGTTCGGCATACAAAAAGTTGTTATGTATATTTATTAGCAAAATCAGCGGCCAGCAGCCAGCAACAGCCACAAAAAGTTCTCTGGCAATGGGGTTTGGTGAAAAGAATGAAATGTTATGCGAATATATTATACAATATAGAGAGAGAGAGAGAGAGAGAGAGACTCATACATAATACCAGTCGAAAGAGAACAAAAAGTGAACCATTGACGTAGGACACAACCGAAAACTTACTCACATCAGTCGAAAATAGCCGATGAAACAGAACACGCAACACTGAATGATGGCTCGGCACAGCCTTTGGGCTTTACTAACTACTCCAGCAGGCGAAGAGGTCAAAGTCGTGGCTGAGCCACACACTGACTCATGAATGAAAGTGGAGCCATCATCAGCCAGAGTATGGGTGGTTAAGCACAATTCATAAAGATCATTCCATGATCCATTATTTTAGCTACCCGCACAAGTAAATGTGTGAACTCGGAGTTGGCACAGTTTTTGCACCAACTTCAGCTGAAACTCAAGCCATACAAAAACTAGAACAAAGATTTTTCAATATCTCAAAAGACGGGCCGAAAGAAGTGTGGGCGTGTCTCACAGAATATTATTTGCCATAAATCTAAACATTAGCCAGAACACAGACACAAAACCAGTTGTGTGTGCTGTTTTTTTTTGTTGGTTTTTGGAAATTTCGCTGTGGCCAAAACGGATCTTCGATCAGCGATTGCTTTGGAGACAGCCAAGTGCGTGACATTTATCAGTTTTTATGGCCATTCGGTCCGTTAATTAAAGAACCAACGCCAACGCAGGGCAAATAGAAAGCTAAAGCCAAAGTCAAGCAGGGGTCGGCGGCTTCAATGAATTGAATCCGATTCTGAATGCTTGACGGGAACGAATCGACAGAATCGTTAAAGCAAAGCCTGCAGTTCTGGGCAATTGAGAAAACATTTCAATTGGGCCACGACTCTGGTACTGCATTAGAAAATGCAATGCGTGTCGTGCCCTTAATTTTCCACACGCTCAGAAATGTCGCAGCCAAGATGCGGAGTGGGAAGTCGTGGTGGAGCGAGCGGAGCCTCCCTCCCCAGGGTTCATCGATACAGTTTAATGGGCAAACGGAATCTGTTTGCAGGCCAAGACTCACTTTCATTGCCAGTCGATGAGGGCTGTGTGTGTGTGACACACATTTATTGGTAAATCGCATGAAGCAACAATTAATGCCAATCACGTGTACGAGTGGCAGTCCACCTGCACAGCAGAGCACTGCTGGATTTTGTCACAAACTGTTGGCACTGGCGCGACGCATAAACAAATCAAACTTTGACTTTGAAGAAAACCCCAAATGGCCAATTGAAATGCCATGCAAGTGGCACTCGCTCGCTCCGTCTCCAGCCAAATCAAAAATGCAAAACAAAGTGGCCAACAAAGTGTTTAACAACAATCAAGGCACAGGGATCGGGGCAGCTCAATTAGAGGCGGTGACATTGGTGATTCGATCGACCCAAGGAGTGTGGCTTAGAGTAGAGCCCGGCACAAGCTGGAGACTGTTCCATTCTGTTCCGTTTTGTAGAGTTCATTGGCTCGCAGATTGATTGGACTGATTGCCTAATAATCCGCGGAGTGCGTGTCCCCTTCTCCAGGGCGTAATCGTTTCGCGCCAGCAGAGCCCAAAACTTAATTGTCCATAACTAGAAGCGTCGCTACGTAATTATTTATAATAATTGTATTTGGAAAATGTTCTCTTTCAGACAGAGGAAACGCCAGCAGCCAAACAAACACACACACACAAAAATGATTTCACGCCGCAAGATCATATCGCGTTCGCTGGACAATTTGGATGCCATCGGGCAAGATGAGCAGGAGGAAGACGTCTGGCACGATCGCGAGAAACTGTTCAGGGTGAGTTGTGGCTGAAAATATGTAGCTGCAAACTGTAGCTAATCCTTGGGCCTTACGCTTTCAGGATCACATCAATGAGGTTCTGGCCAAGTGGGAGCAAATCGACGATGAGATCTGGGCCAAGATTATTGTCTTTGAGAAGAATCGACGCGTGGCCAAGGCCTATGCGCGCTCCTCTGTGATAACCATTAATGGGTCCAAGAACGGCTTCGATGGTGTGCGGTGAGTAGGACTGCCCTCAAGGACTGCTCCGAGCTCCCCTCTAATAACCGAATATTACCCTAAACCCCTAAACAGCATTGGGCTGAATGGCTTCGAGAATCCCATGCGCGACTCCGAGACGAAGGTCATCAAGAAGTCCATTGGCGATGGCTTCAAGGTCAAAATGGACGAAATAGGCAACATATTCATCAAGCGTTATGGCAAGAGCAACATCTTCGTGAACAACACATCGGGTGGCAATGAGGAGACGGTCATTGGCGGTGACATTATGCAGATGCCGCAGATGTCCCTCAGCGGCGGCACCTCCGCCAAGCTGTTCGACATGAAGAAGTTCCAGACGAACATTAATCGAGAGTTTGCTCGCACCTATCCGGAGCGGGGCAGGCTGGAGCGCCAGTGCCTGTCGGCGGTGTCGCTGGTCAAGTCAAACAATAATCTAATCAACACTCCAGTCTGGATACTCGTGGTCAATGTGGTGGCCATGGACATGCTGAGGAGTCGCCTGCAGACGATGCCCAAGTCGCTGGACGCGCTCGGCATGCGGGTGCCGCTGGCGCAGAGCAGCGAGGATCCCTACTCGACGATCGAGAGCCAGGTGGGCCTCATCTATCCAACGCCCGCCGCCTCCGATGACTCGCAGAACTCGCAGCACTCGAGCCACAGCAGCAAGGGGCGACGCAGCGTGTTCAGCGCCGCCTTCCTCAACGAGGGTCCCTACATGCCCAAGGTGAGTTGCTCTCGATTGGCAGACAACTCCGCTTTGTGCTCACTTCCTTTCCCCCTTAGCCGGACTACGAGGCTGCCGGATCGCTGACACCCATCTATGCGGAGAAGAAGCGGCAGAAGAGCAGCGCGCAGCAGCGCAAGAAGCAGGACGATCCCTACTACTGCGGCCTCCTGGCACGCATTCCCAACTTCATCAAGTCCTCGAAGCAGCCGTGCAGCGGTGCCAGCAAGCCCAAGAAGGAGCCGAAGATCTCACGCAAGGTCTCGGCCCAGCACCTGCAGCATCAGCAGCATCAGCAGCAGTTCCTGCAGCCGCCACAGCCCATTCCCATAGCCACCTTCCACCACTCGTACTTCCCCTACAAGCACTATCCGGCACAGCATCGTCTCTCGCAGTCGCAGATGTCGCTCTGGGATGCCCGCAGTCTGATCAGCGCACATGGTGGGTTCAATGTCAACATTTTTGTACTAAACCTTTGCTAACTCTGTTGTCTCTTCCCCACAGAATGAACGACATGGATGGGCCCTAATTTATTCAACGTGTAGCATTAGTTTTACGAATATTTAGTCAAAGTTTACGATATAAAAATGATCAGTGGAATGCATTTCGCTCAGTTTTGTGATAAATGATGCGAAATGCAGCCATTTACTACACATTTATCAGCAGTTTACGTTTAGGGAACCAGAGAGATTTAATAATTATGCAATTTGTAATAACTAATTAAAATTTTGCCATAGTTTTTTTAAATCGTTTAAGACTGAGAGAATGTCCTAGAGCACAATTAAGCGCGAGAGACCGAATAGCCAGATGGGAATGAGATTGAGAATGTCATAATGTCATAAGCAAGTAATTTTGCTACTTTAGGCAAGTCCAATTTATTGTTTATTTTTTATTATTTTGCTGTACATAAATTTCATATGTAAATAAGTTCGAATAAAATATGTAAAAGACATTTAAATGCATTACAACTATGAGTGTTTTCTTGTAGAGGGTATAATTATTAAAGATTGAAATATCCCGTCCAGTTCCATAGCAGTTAGACCTGCACACATTGTTACTGAATGCTATAAAACTTGAAACCTTAGCTCTTTGTGTACCGCGACACGTGCATGCAATCGTAAGCGTAATCGAAGCGTAATATATGGCAATCAATCTAGTAAGTCAGCCAATCGTGTGGAGAATTGAATGAGAGTTGTAGTTAAAATACAGTTTCAAAGCTGATAGCCCTAAAAAGCTGGTAATATTAAACAGAATACCAAAGGACAGGAAAACCATTTTAGATATACAGTATATTTGCGGTATATTTAGAAAATGAAAGAGTATATTTCCGACGGTTTGTCGGTATATTGTTTCGCTGTCAAACGGTCACACTTTTCCAGCTGCATTTTTACCTTGTTGTGGCGCGTTTTTCTAAACAATTGTGTGCAATATAAGTAGCAATATTGTGCCGAAAACCCCTGCAGGCCATGGATAAGTTCTTGCAGCGCAATCCCCCATGGGCAACAAAGGCCTACGAGGTGCCCGGCGCCAACGCGGAAGAGAAAAAGCTGACAACGCAGCACGCTGGGCCACCACAGCGGCGTCCATTGCAAGAGCAGCAGCCTGAATCGAATGTAACCCCCAAGCGTCTCAGTCAGCCCCACTATGCAGCAGGTTGGCTTTGTGTTTTATGCAATACATATTGAGTAATCGTTTTGGGTAGATAGCTATCAAAATTAGATGTAACTGAAACATATACATACACAAACAATGTGGCAAATTGATCCTGAAATCGCTAACCAGATTTGTTCTTCTTGGATAGACACGTTGCGGGCCACGGACAAGATGCCAGAAGTAAATGCTAGTCCAGCAAAAACGTACCAGCCATGTCCCGTGCTCCAGGCCGTACCGCCTTCGAATGGTGTGACAACGCCCACATCCATGCAGGCCGGACGCTTGGCTCGCCTGCAGAATGACCTCAACAGTCCCAGCGCCACACTTCGAGTGCGTGCCATGCGCGCTCTAAAGTAAGTGAAATCTGCAGGCCCTTGCGAATGCAACTAATGTACAATTTGCTTTGTCGCGCAGAAGTCCCGCCAACACAGCCTACAATGTGTTTGATGTGTCGCACACCGAACAGAATATCATCTCTGCCGACGAGCGTAATCCCAAGGCATCGCCTTCGCTGCCAGAGATCCTCAGCCCCGTTGTGGTCTATGTGGAGGTGCGCAGCGGCAATGACAATCGTTCGGATGGTGTCAAGACAATCATAGCCAAAATGGGTGCCCAGGTCAACGATCGTCTGCTGCGGTGAGTACAACGCCTTGATACTAACTGAATGAATCTCCTGCTGAAAGCAAGTTCTCCTTGTCCCTCAGCAACACGACGCATGTGGTCTTCAAGGATGGTCTACTCTCGACCTACAAAAAGGCCATGGAGTGGAAAATACCCGTCGTTTCCATACTGTGGATTGAGGCCTGCAAGGTGCAACGAAGGATTTGCGAACCCGAAAAGTTTCCCATCAGCAATTTGCACAAATATGAGTATCCCGAGCTGTACGGCAAGATAACGGTGAGTGGAGATTACTACTTATTTTTAAGCTGTGGGAATACATAAATAGATAACAGAACTCTGTTTGGGTTGCCCCTCCATGTCGAGCCAGCCGTGTGTTCCGTTCCAAACTTTATCAATCATAATTGCCAGCCAAAGGTCGACGCGCCATTGGCACGATATTTGTGAATGGCGAGGTAGCAGCGAATGGTAGCAGCTAAACTCAGAGTTAATCAATCAATGATGGGGAGTACCAGTTTATGGCCGTGTTCGGGCTCCCCTTAATGGGCTACTCAGGGCTTAAATAGTTTTCTTTATTGCAGACATAAACACATTAAAATTGAATTTGAAAATGGCTGAACAGATAGCCGCCCGGGCGGCGTCTTATCAGCCACTTGTGTTGGGTCTGCTGCTACGCGGCAAAATGATTGTTTAATCCGAAATAAATACCAAGTGAACGCAGGGCCATGGGCCGTCTGAAATTGCACGTACCCCAAACACTGAGCGGCGACTATTGGGAACTCGTCATGTCTGACAGGTTCTTATCAGTGACAAGCACTGTCAAGCAGTCTGTTATCTAATTTAATTTGCGCTAGGCGAGGCGAGGCCCGAGTATATCGTAGGGCCAGGGCCAGGAACTGTTGGACGGGCCAAGGAGGCCGCCTGTCCAGGCGAGAGATTGCACATGAGATGCACTGATCGTTTTGCATACAATAAGTTTTATTGCTTACATATTAGAGACAGTTTAAAAACATACAAGCCACTGGATGCTGCTGAGCTGCTGACAACTTAAAACCTAATTCAGATGCACGTCTGTTTGTATTCCATCCGAGAATGCATTAAATCTTCGTCGTCTCATTTGCATAACTCGCTGGAATGCAGGCCTATTTATAGAACATTTAACACTAAGTTAGATTATTAGATTCACGTTTTCGGGGAACTGCTGGCTGCTGTTGGGGGAACGTTCCACGTAGCGCCGCCTGGGCCCAAGTATTTCTGAGATTTGTACAATGCGCGTGTCGCTTTCTATTTACATAAAAGTGGGGGAATGAGCGTTAAGTACAATGGAATCCTTGCATTACACTATTTTGCGAGTCCTGCGCTGGCGGAGCGAGGCAGGCATTTTGTAGTTTTGGTATGGGAAGGCCCTCTCATGAGAGCGCCACTTCGAGGCACATCATTATCAGGAATCCAGAGACAGTGCCCCACGTGGCAATCGTTCCATTGCCGCTGGCATGCGCCTCGGGCAGAATGTCGTCCGACACAATGTAAATCATGGCTCCGGCCGCAAATGACAGCGCATAGGGCAGTATCAGGTTGGCAAATGTCACCGCCACGGCGCCCAGCACACCGAAGATGGGCTCGACCATGCCGGACAACTGTCCGTACCACAGAGCACGGCCCACACTGAAGCCGGCGGCATGCAGGGGCAGACTGACGGCCAAACCCTCTGGGAAGTTCTGAATGCCAATGCCAATGGCCAGGTTGCGGGCGCTCTCGAATGTGGATGAGTTTGAGGTGCCGATGGCTCCGAAGCTCACGCCCACCGCCAGTCCCTCGGGAATGTTGTGCACGGTGATGGCCACCACCAGAAGCATGATGCGCTTCCATTGAGAGAGCGCCTCCTGGGCGCGCTTCTCCTCCTCGCTGGTGGTGTAGGTGCACTGCTCCAACTCGTTGATGCTGGCCTTCTTGCGGCGTCGCGACTCGCCGCTGTGCTGCACGCTCAAGCAGTCGGAGAAGCTCTCCAGACTCTTGGCGGCGAGGCGGTCGCCGGTGCCGTTCCCGTTCCGCTTCAGATCCTCGATGGCAATGTCCGCCTTGTCCTTGCTCGACTGCGTCATCTGAATCATCATTTTGGTGCTGTTCAGGCCCAGATAGGACATCAGCTTGTCGCAGCCGTAAACGAAAAAGGATCCGAGTAGAAAGCCACCCGCTACGGGCACAAACGAGTACACTCCGTACAGGTGCGAGCTCTCGGCCATTTCGATGGCCGGCTTGAGCAGTGACCAGAACGAGGCGGCAATCATGACGCCAGCCGCAAAGCCAAGGGCCGCGTCCAGCGACCTTCTCTGCGTACCGCGCACAAATATCACCAAGGCGGCACCGGCGGCCGTCAGCCCCCAGGTGAGCAGGGTGCCCAGCAGGGCCTGAGTTACGGGTCCGTAGCCGGGAATCATTTTTCTGTCTTCTGTGCTAGTCGCCGCCTGGTACTTGGCTCTTGTTGCGCTCCTCCAAATTAGTTTGAGTTATGTACGTGTTGTGGCTGAGACTCTTATCGGAGTACTGTGGCAGTTCGGGCAAAACAAGTTTCTTAATTGTTTCCCCAGCTGTCGCCGCTCCACCGCAAGAAGCTGCTGCTTGTCTGTTAATTGTTTACTTGCTCTTACAGCAGATGCGCACGCCCTCGAGGCAAAGTGCCACGTTCCGTGCCGTGCACTGATTCGTGTCTAGTATTTCAGCCGAATAAACAAAAGACTTGCAGCTGGAGAACCGAACAATAATAGTATATGTGATGTATGTAGTTTTGTTTTCTTTTCTAAAGTTCCTTCTTTGGTTGTAGTGTAGTCGAGTCGTGAATGGGTTGGTTGAACACTTGTTGCTTATCGCTCACTAGAGGAAGTCTCTTCGAACGGTTGTGCTTGTGTGGGTTGACAATAATTTAAATGGAATGCGTAATACTGGTGGTGGTGTACTAAGTTTAAGAACTAATTGAACGCGGCGACGAGTGGGAATGACTGAGCTGACAGCCCTGTCAAGAGCAATTTTTATAGGGCCGCTGGGAGGCGGCAGCTGTGAAACAATCGATAGTATCGTTAACTGTCGCTTCTATGGTTATCGTCTCTAGTGCCCGTTGTTTGGTGATGGGTAAAGAAAAACGGCTCAAACTATGTTTGAACATCCCACAACTAGTAGTTTTTGGTGGTGCAACTGTAAATGAATGAACTATTTTTGAAAGCAATTTTATTTCGAATAAGCATTTAAACTATCGATGAACGGAGAGTAACATCCCTTCCTGACAGCCAGCTAGTGGTAACGAGATAAGCGCTTAAGAGATTAAACAAAAGCCAGTAACGGCACTGATAGCACGTAGTTATAAACAAATAAAACAGTGTTTTTAGCCAACGCGTGACCGACAAAGCCAGTTGCGGCATCATCCGCCGCAGCAGGCACAATAACAAGAAAAGAAAGGGCATGAGCTCCATCGTAATTAAGCTGACCGGCCGCACTCTGTTATTAATCAACTGCCACATCCTTTGCAGCGTGTTCGGTGCATGCAACCAGGCTCGGAGCTTAACAAACGTCCACCAAAACGGCCAGCAACGCCCACATCAACCACCGACAAAGGCCCAGCATCGGACAGCAAGCGAACTGCTTTTGCTACGCCCACTAACACGGCGAAGGTACGTTCCTAAAGTGTACGCCAGAGTAATCCTTTTAATCATATTTCCCTTGTTCTTTTCTCAGAATGAAATCAGTCATTTCTTCAAGGCACTCAACCACAACAAGCAACTGGCTGCGGAAGAGGCGGCCGAGTCGCCTGCCACTAAACTACTTAACAGGTTTGTCCTTGTCATGTACTGAAAAGTGTACTACATAACCGATTCCTTTTTTCACAGGATATCCAATGGCAACTATACGCCACTGCGTCTGGGCACGCCTGCCAAGCCAGCTGGCAGTGGAATACAAGATCCAGATATACCTCAGAAGAGTGGCGACACCTCCAACGACAAACCGCAGGCCCAGAAGAGTTTGAACTTTAATGGGGCAACTGGCACCGATGAGCCGCTGCGGCCTGCCAAGCCACGACCCCGCCGTAGCACAGCAGAGCCCACGCCAGTGACCACACCGGTACGCACCAGTCGCCGACGCAGCTCAGCTCATATTCCCATGACTAGCAAAGAGGACGTAGCTCAGCCTGCCGCCGAGCCAGAGCCAGAGCCACGAATGTCTCGCCGACGCAGTACGGCGCATATTGCAATGGCCAGCAATGAGGTTGCTACTCCGCCTCGAGAGCCACGTCCGCTGCGTCGCTGCAGCTCAGCTCATATTCACATGGCAAGCAGTACGGATGCTGCTGCAGAGCCAGAGCCACAGCTGAAGCGTCGCCGCAGCTCAGCGCACACTGCCATGGCCAGCAATACGGTTGCTGCTCCATCCCCGCAGCCAGAGTCAAGAGTGACACGTCGTCGCAGCTTATTGCTTCCGGCTGCCAAGGACCCCCAGGAACTGGCACCGAAAAATGTATTTGCCTCAATTGCCGAGGAGCTGGCTCCCGTAGATGAACCTGCTGGGGATGCTATCAACTTGAAGGATCCCAACAAGACCAATTTCGTACAAAATTCGCTGGAGATGAGCGTTGAAATGCCGTCGCAAGTTCTACATCGGGAGGAGAAGCGCGGCACCCTGTACACCTCGGAGCGTATGGACATAAGCAAGGAATACCAAGACCAGAACGTGCCGCTTAATGTGACTGCCAGGAAATCGCTGTACAATTCAACTATGCAAACGTCTGGACTCTTGGATGAGCACTCGACACCGCCGCTGTTCAGCTCGACTCGACTGACCAGCAGCAGGTTCAGCACTAATGTGAAACGAAGGCGCACCATCTTCAACTTGGACATGGACGTGATCAACGAGGGCATTGACAGATTGAACTCGTCTCATCGACTGTCGCTGGTGCTGGCCAGTCAGGCCGAGCTGGGTGAGTGCGGCAAGTCAGTTGTGACGACGGAAGTACCTCGGGCGGAGGAGAATCCCCCGAGTGAACCAAAGAGACGTCGCCTATTCACGCCCAACGAAGTGGTTGTGATCTCACCCCCAAAGTCAAGTAAAAAACAGCGTATAAGCCTGAGTGGCAACAGTGCAACCAAAAATGCATCTGCAAAGAAAAATCGTCGTCGTTCATTGGCCGTTCCCGTCTGTTCTTCGTCGGACTTTAGCTGTCTTGGTGCTCATGTTGAACATGTAGAAAGCACCGAACAATTTCTCACACCCGAAGCATCCGTAGATGGCTTCAACGACATTGAAACTTCCTCGAAAATGCAAGTAGCTGAAGTTGCAAAATCGGCAAGCAGCAATCGCCGTTCCAGTGTGATTCGTACGCTGGTGCACACGAACATGCATCATGTGCAGGTGCAGGTGATTCAAAAGGTTGGTAGCACTGTGGACACACCAACTGAGACCCAATCTAAGTAGTAAGAGTTGGGTCGGTAGACTATAGACCATAACTCTTAATGTAGCTTAGTTCTCTGTTTGTTAATTTTCGTAAATATGCATATTCAATAGTCGTTCGTCAATTGCCCATAATAATTATTTATGAAACATAAACAACACGCACTTAGCTTGTAGCAAAACTTCATTTGTAATGCTTACCCCACACTAAACTCAAATAAACCGTATCCCTGCGTACTCCGCGGTGGGGCCCTTTCTTAGTCCTACCACAACTCAACTCGATTCGTTGCCTTTAACCTCAGGCCGTACGGAGATTGCGTGGAATGCGGCTGGATCCCACTGTGACCAAGCGTACCACTCACTTGGTCAGCCTGGAGCCGCGCCGCACACTGAATCTCCTGCGCGGACTCATGCGAGGCGTCTGGATTGTCGACTATGACTGGATCCTGGAGTCGCTGCGAGTCGGCAAATGGGTAAACGAAGAAAAATACGAGCTTAAAAAATTCTCACGTGCCGTTGAGGTGAGTGTCCAGCTGCTGCGACTTCGACCTTAACCGAGCTAGTAACTCCCTCTACCCACATCAGATTTGCCGCACTGAGCGCCAGGCCTTTGGCATGCACTACCACTGCGAGCTCTTCCGCTACATGGAAACCTTCTATGTGTCCTCCCTATGCCGGCCCATAGAGTTCAACAACATAAAGGAGCTGCTGTTGCTGGGCGGCGCCAAGCTAACCGAGAATCGCTTCAAGGCAAAGTACATTATTGGTGACAAGCGACGAGCAGTGGACGATCGAATTTATCTGACTCCCTACTGGGTGCTGGATAGCATCACATCCATGCAAATCCAAAAGTTTGGCAAATACCTAATGAAGAGTGCCATTGTAACGCCCAGTGGCATTAGGTACGAGGATCCAATGGCGCGTCTAACTGCCCCAAGGAAAGATTATAACTTCATTGATCCACCACTGGTGATGGACAAATAGGTCGACGCTTTCTGTTCTACCTTCTTCAGACGAACGAAGTTACACAACGTTATTATATTTAGTCTAGACCACATATTGTTAAGCAGTTTTTCTAGAGAATTGACAATACATACAATCAGAAATAGACGCAGAATAATAAACCATAATTTATTTGAATGAACTCTGTTCTGGTGGGCGGGATGTAAATCAAACAAGTTGCTTCTTAGTCTCTTCAATGGCAAATGTTCATTCACTTTATTGGAACGCTGATTGAGGTATATTGTGTTGTCAGTTTTATTTCATTTGATTTCTTGTACTTGTACTCTTCAAATAGATTCAATTTCAGATACACTTTGTACTTAAGTGGCATCGACGACAGGGCGGGCGGTGCTTGGGCTTGATGTTGTGGATGACAAATAAATTGATGGCTGAAAATCAAAAGGCGGCAAACAAACCAAAAAGATGGTTAAAAAAGAATAATTACAAAAATAGGGTTTTTATTTTTTGTAAATAAAGTTATCGCTTCTATTCTGGTTCTTTTTTTTCATGTATACAAAGTAGTTGTGTGTGTGTGTGCAAAAGGAGGGTAAGATAAATGATACAAATCAAAGTATAAAGGTTAATTTAATCGATATAAATGCTACGCGCGCTCGCTACTCATATCCATACATAGTAAACTAAAGATCGATGGAAGGGAGAATGGATGCATGGAGGAGTGGTTGTGTTTCGTGGATGCGCTCCCGCCAATCAATCCATCATCCCATTTAGGCGGCTTCGACAGCGCTTGTTGTTGACATTCGTATCCTACGAAACTCTTTTCGATGGAAGAAATTAAACTTTTGCTTTTTCTGGAACTTCATCTTATCGTTCGTTTTGCTCATGACAGGGACAGGTGTTCTTGCTATACTACTATTGTTGTGCTTGTTGCTGCTGGTATTGTTGAGTGTTGGTTGTGTCTGCATTATGTTGTTGATTATATGCGTGGTGCTGCTGATGCTGCTTCTGCTTGCGCTTCCGCCGCTTGTTGCTGCTGCTACTGTTGTTGAGTGAGAGCAAACCAGCTACTTCTTGCCCTTGGTGGCCTTCTCGGCGGCCTTGGTGACCTTGCCACCGGAGGCATCCTTGAAGTTGACG